TACAATTCCCCACGAAAGTAGCCTAAAATTTTGAATAAATGTATAACATTGTGTCGTATTTGCGGTCCAATTCTAAAGAGCATATATATTTTTCAAATTTAAGCAGTGAAATCTCGCCTGTTTTTTTCATTTTTTCGACATAAGCTAATGATTTTTAAAATTTTTATTTTTTCGAAATGAGGTAAAGCATTCTTTTTCATGATTTTGCACACGGAATATATTCGTTGCGTCGAGTACGGTACATTGTGCAGTAATTTTTGCAATACGCTGCATGAAGTTGAACGTGTGTTCTATGTTTTTTCCTTTGCTAAAAAATGTGCTCTAATATGTCGATGGATTTAGCCTAAATTCGGTTACTATTCTCGCGCTTTCCTATGGCATCGAAGCGAAACTATTCACGTTACTGAGTCGTAAATTGCTATCATATGATGCTGTGGTAGTCAACAGAAGCACTAATTTTCGTCTCAGAAAGGCAATCAACTGTTTCAAGTCGTGGTCGGTGGAACAAAATAAAAAAAGCTTCAATGAACCTTTTGAAGATAAATAAAACTGGAAGTGGAGAAGAGTTTGTGGGATAGGGAAACGCAAAAATGCTGATTGAATACTGTGACAAAAACTATACAATAATGTAGATATATATGTATATATATATAATTTATATGTATTTGAACAATTGAAGCTCTCCATCTGTAATTTGTGGTACGGGATAATGAAAAGTATCAGTTCATTTTGCGTGCCAATGTCAGACCACATGGCCCTCAAATACCAGGCGATTTTTTATTGTACTGTACATTTAAATCATTCAAATTTTTTTTAATGCGTAAAATACATTGCAAATTATGCGAAAAAGAGAAAAAATGGCATTTTCTAAAATTGAATTCGAAAATACAGTACTAACTACAGTATTCAGCTCTTCATCTAAAATTCTAAAGCGTTCCATTTGAGTTGGACGCCCTAATTCTCAAAGAAGTGGCATATATTTTTACTTTGTCCGATTCTTGGTAATTTCTTCGATTTAAATTATCCGAAAAGAAATCAAACTAGCAAACAAAGTAAATTTGTCGGGAAGTTCACTTGAGCGGCTCGGAAAAAAGGGATAGAAGAAAATTTTCAGCTGCAAAATTACCTTGAATTTTAACAGGAACGCGATGATCAGTTCAGTATTCTGAAAAATATTCGCCTTCAATTCATAGGAAGTAATCAAAATTGCCAAGAAGTTATAAAACCGTGTTGAGCATGGTTAACCTCGAAGGCTCCGAGAGAATGAAGCTCAAGAAAAAAATTCATACATTACAGTATTTCAGTTTTAAAAAAACGCTGTATATTTTACAAAATAGCGGAAACAAATATTACTTCTCGGTATAAATAGTCTGCACAGTTTTCTGGAACCTCACAGGTATCTGAAAATTAAGTTATAATCCAAAAATAATAATAATAAATGGCGTACAGCAAAGGCGGTCTCAGTCGGCGCCAGGGAACCGTTTGCGTCGGTCGCGGGAGTCCTCCGGAATCCCGACGTCGGCCACCACGTGTTTCAACGTGACGACGTCGTCGCCGCCGCCACCGCCGCCACCGTGGTTCCCGACGAACCTGGTTCTCCTCAATGCCCAGTCCGACTCGGATGATCAGCGCAGTACGTCGTCGAAAAGCGACGGCGGGTCGACGCCAACTGGCGTCCCGATGACGTCCCGAAGTGTCGTCAAGGAAGCAATTATCGGGTACACGGGTCAGTAAAAACGTATGCGAACCCTGTTGTGATGGAAAATTTTAAAGAAAATTATCCGATTCATCATTATTCATGATTCATTGTACGTATTTTGACACGTAGTCTAGAATATTGGTGCTATAATCGATCAACTTCCGTGAAATTTAAAGCTCAGTGCCAAATTTTGTGATGAAACAATCGTTTAACGAGATTGACTTGAAATTCCTTGGCGTATTTTTCTTCGAGTAAAATGCAAGGTAAATTTCAGCGTCCATTCCTTTGTAAAAATGGCATACTTTTAAGAAAAAATAAATTTCAATTCATATTTGCGTTTTGTTCTGTCATGGAAAATCATGACTGAATTATCAAGGTTTTTAACACGTTTTTAATATTTTTTTCCACGATCGATGTCCTGGCTCGTGCAGTTTACTTCTTCAGTGATCAGTCGAATTTTTGATCATTTAAACGTGAACTGCGAAATGGTCACTTGAGCATTCACTTATAATTTAATTGAAATATTCGGTAGCACACTGCCAGCAAATTTTAAAAAACGTTGAGATGATTTTTATTCATTTCATACAATATTTACCTCAATGAATCTCCTGGCATGTGTAATTTAAATTTTGCGTGATATATCAAGACATCAGTCGCATTTGTGATCATTAAAACGTAAACTGCCAAGATGAGAACACTTCCAGATCATAACACGCTTGTCAGAGCTGCGAAATGCGTATTTATGGATTCGCTTTCAATTTATTTGAAATATTTGGTAGCTCGCAGATTGCCTGAAAATAAAAATAAAAATCGTGTGGCTTGTGCCCTATGAAAATTTGGATTTCTTAGCATTGCAACCAGGATGCGCAAGAATGTAGACATATACGCTCAACTCTAAAATCCCCAGGCTGAAAAAAAAAATTAAAAAGCGACAATTCCGTGATTTTTTTCGAGATTTCAACAAGTTGTTTTTCCACACACACAATGACACAAAAAATGTATTCCGTTGCGGTTTTAAAGGTTATGTCCCTGGACTTCCCTTCAAGTTTGGAGAAACTTACGGCAGGGCAAGCAGAGAATGTCGCGAGAAGTTGGCCATGTCCTTACGCACGGAAGGTTCAGAAACTGGTTGAATTTTCCCATTTTGAAGCAAGATCCCGATGGAAACGAAACCGAGCCAAAATGAAGAAATTCTATATTTGTTTTTGTTTCCTGGAGTTTGAAAAATGTTAAATGATGACCGAAGAAAAAGAAAATGGTGTTTCTTTGGCTGTTGCTGCTTTTCAACCGCAGGATTCGCGAGAGAGAAAAAAGTCGAGAATATTTGCGTTTTTTTTTTTTTGGCGGATGATTGCAGCGAAGGTTTTTGAGTGCTTCAATGGGATTCTCTTGTCTTTGCCTAATTCAGGTTTGTTCTACGCATTCTCGGAAAGTTTGGCTGATTGGGTGATTTATTTGGCTTTATGATTCCGAAGTTGCCGAGGAAAAAAGATGTGTGAGGAAGAATGCATCGTTAATCCTGGAGTGATAACTGCAGGAATTTTTACGACGAGCGTTGATTGATTTATTTTGCTCTTCAGCTCATGCTTTGGGAGAAAAGGGAATTTATTTCCACTCTTAATTGACGCTGATCTTCAAGTTTATCCTCCTTTTTTTGCGGATAATCCAATCGATCAACGACAAGCTTTTGCTGATCATACTTATTACAGTATCCATTGGTGACTGACCTCCGTACAACATGAACACGCACAAAAAGTGCCGATACGGCAGATCTTCATATTATTAAATCAATTTTTACAATCCTAATATTTTTTCACCGATTTTAACTTTGTTCTGACTTTATCGTAGAATCGAAAATTCTATAGATTCCGATTTCCGGGCTTTCTTTGCTGATTAAAATTGAGACTTTGAACTTTTTATGTGAATTAGTTGATGGAAAATGACCTTTTCAAAGTATCTTAGCGGATTGAAAAAATATTGTCATCGACTTTAGCTCGGAAAACTTAGATGCGACATTTACCGAAATTATAAATACAATACTGAAAAACTGTTTTCACGCAAACATGAGACTAGTGATGGACGATTTATTATTGATTGCTTCGAAATGCTTTTTTCCTTACATGATCAATGACAGGAAGTTAAGTGGGCGGAAAATGTTAAAAATCCGGAAGCCGAGAAATTATTCGGACAATTCCTTGAAATGTGATCATTCCAGCCAATGTATTTTCACCCGGAATACTGTAAAAATTTAAACTTGACGCGGGAAATGAGCCCTTTTAATTATTGCCCTCTATTTTGTATCTGCATATTCGAAAAAGTCAATGATTGATTCTGATGGAGCACTTCTTCGTTCCTCGCATCATTTGTTACATATCCACGTCAAGAAAATCGGTCAGAAATCAGAGAGATTATCCTCCGCTAAAATTTTCTCAGCTCAACTGAATCCCGTTTGATCAATGAAACCCCTTTTCCGCAACCCCCCGCTGAAACCCGTCGCAGTTCCCCCACGTGTATTGGGCTGCAGTGTGCACAAAATTACTGCGATGATAAGCCCAGCTGTGTTTACGAGCGATATTATGCCTCGTTTTGTCTGATTGAGGGTCATTTCGTCCTTGGCTATAATCGTTCTCATGCAGACTCGTCTGTTATTGTCGTACTAAGTATTCCGGTAAATATAATGGCCCTGGGGAAAATGGGGTCGGCGCAAAATGCCTGAACGAACATTCAAAACAAACACGATCTGACAGAAATATCCTGCTTTTTTTCAGAAGAGAGCACATTTCTGCGCGAGAGTATCTTTTATAAATTTTTCAACAGAAATCAGAGATGCTGGCATCAAACTAAAAATCAAAACCAACCAGAAACTAATTCTTACAGTTAACTATTAAAAATACTTGCCCATACAATGAAAAAAAAAAAAGCTTCACGGTCAAGTAAAATCCGTTTCAATAAGAACAGTGTCGTAATCAAGAGTGGACGGCGTTTTAGCAGTCCTATCAGGATTAAATGTTGATCGCATGAAATAAAGTTGTCTTTCATCGCTCACCTTTACAATAATTTCTGGAAGATCTTCCAGGAGGGAATGGAATAATTACTCGTGAAGTCAAGGTACCAATTGATAAAATAAATTCAGATTTATTCCAAAAAATAATTCGAAATATGGCATAATGACGTGAAATCTCGCCGCAGATTGCCCCAGAACCTGTTGGAGTATACAATTTTTTTTAATGTCGCACCATTAAGGTGAATTAATGAAATTTTCGAATAACCTAAATCACGTTGGTGCCATACAGTGACTTGACAGCATGTTCAGTCGATCTGCGTGAAGGTCTGACAAATGCCTCGCGAGTACTGCGCATGCAATTGACCCGCAAATTCCTAAAATTCCGGCCAGGATTGATAAAGAACCTGCGACCAGGGTTGTCATCCCCATGGAAGAGAGCATTGCTCCTTTACAACCCTGAAAAAAGAACAGGAGAAAATAAATCAAGGTTGTGTTTTGATCAATTAACTTTTATGTGACGTCATATCACGAGGAGTACAGTATATAGTACTGCTGGAGTCCAATTTCCGATTACGGCATTCATCAACGGCTGTATTCGAAGAAAATAATAAACGATTTTCCCTTTCCCGTTTTTCGCATTTTGAAAGCTTAACAAATTTCTCCCTCCCGCAGGGTTACGTGAGTAATACATGTGAACATTATTAATATTGTATACACATACCTTCGAAAAACGATATTCATAAGATTTAATTAATTCATGTTTAATTTGTGGGTTCAAGATTTTAAACAAAATCGGAGTATACTTCACGAGCGCATTATGATATTTTTATTGATGTGGTACAAAATAGGGCCCAGGAAAGGTAACAGCAGTGATTCAGTAATTACCCTAGTATGAACCCTGGAACACTTCCCGATGCCTAAGTCGCCGCAGTGCTCGTGAATAGCGACATCTACACAGCAAGTGCAAGGTAAAATGTTGGCTGCGATTCCGCTGGATGGGGATGTCACTAAAGCAGCGGCTCCAACTCCCGCGGATGACTTCATTCCGGCGTTCTCGATGTTGATTTGCAGCTTTCCATTAGGTTGCAAAGCTGCTCGTCCTCCTTTTCCACTTTTCACTTGAACTATACATCGTATGGAAGCATGCATTTCAGCGAGAATAGCTTGATGAGTTTAAAAAATGAAATTTACCGTGCACAGCAGCCTTTGATTTCTTTGCTGCTTGTTGACGAACCATATTGCCGATTTTTCGAACAGTTTCTTTCGCGAGAATGCTCGGTGCCCCGAAGTGTCCTTGCAGGTAGAAATATTCACTCCCATCGCTGTGGAATACTTATATTTTAGTTGTACACCCCAATATTCAGAAATTTCAACAATAAAAAAATCCTCGACACAGAAATATATTCTCTTTTCTCCGGTCAGTGGGCAATTGAAAATTATCCGTATACATACAGTAAATTCGTGTTACAACAATTATTGCAGCAATACAATGTTTTCAGTATAAAAATTTTTTTTTTTGAACCCCCGGCATAAATCCTGTAGGGTACATATTACTGTATAAAAATCGTGTTACAACAAACTTGCTAATTCCAGTGATGAACATGCTCTGATTTCACAATGAAAATCTTCAGTGAAAACAGACAATCTCACATTTCCCATTAAAAATGTGACTGGTTCTTGGGACATAAGGTGGAATCAAGGACAAAAATTATTTAAAATTCACCTGAACATCCTTTCTTTCAAACATTGTCACTGGGGTAGGAACAATTGCAGTAGGGGTGGTTAGTTGCAAAAAAATGAACCCAGCAAAACTCGTAATAAAAGAGGTTTGTGTAATTGAGAAACCCTACTAATGTAAAATTGTAAGCTTTTTGGTCCACCCTTAAAAATATGGAAGAATTGCTCAGCAAAACTTGAAGTCAACAAACAGTGATAGTGTTCACCTGTTGATCAGAGTAAAAGCTTATTAGTGTCATTAAAATTTCATTTTGAAGATCAACATTTTTAAACATTGAAATGCTGTATAAAAAAAGCCACAAAAGGAAGATGTTGAATATATGCAGGCCTAATTTGAAGAAAATCTTCAAATCAATCAATACTTTTGAAAATCTTATTATAACAAATTATTCATTATAACAAACTTTTTCTGAAGTCCCCCACACATTTGCTGTTACAAGATTTTACTGTAGTACTTCAGGAATTGCAGTAGTTTCTGAAATTCTGACAGGCATCCAGCAGACTCTCATTTGGATCCAATCCGCATCTCGAGATCCCACAGTAATTAAACCAAAAAATTTAGTAGATTAAAAAATTAATCTAAAAACCACATTTTCAAAAAGCAAAAAATAACCTTTAATGGGGTGCGCATCTATTTCATTTCACTTCTTCCCATCAATCTCCATGTGCATCTATTTCATTTTCTCAGTGTTCACGTCCGCGAGATTAGAT